TGCCAAGCGCCCGAAAAATTATGACAAAGTCTAGACAACGCAACTCTTTCTACCCCCCTTGCCACTGCAACGGACGAAAAGTAGCGAAGAAGAAGAAAAAGGGTGGACTTTTCTAAAGTCAAATGCGCTCAGCATCAAAATTCATAGAAAAAGGTCCGCCCTAATATACACACACATTCACTTGTTTTGACCTGCCAACCACACACACATACACACATATTACATGTGTATCCATTAATTGCGTCTTAGAATTTCGTTTGACTCTTCCTTGTTTTTAGGGCAATTTCAGAACATATTTTTGGCTATTTTGTTCTGCGTTTTAGGGCGATTTCGCCCTAAAAAGAAGGAATTACTTTTGGAGTCGACTCATAAAAATTCGCCCTAAAAAACAGGGCAAATTTGGCGTTTTGGAAAAACTAACCCTAAAAAATATTTTCCATGGCGATTTTTCGTAACTTTAGGGCTAGCCACCCGTACAATTAGAAAATTTTTCGTATTTTTAGGGCGACCTCGGTTTTAGGGCGACTTTTCTAGTATTTAGGTAAAAATTTCTATGAGTGATATAGAATGTCGTTTTGCATTTCTCTTACTATTGATTTTTGTTTAAGGTTTCGCTTTTCGCTTTTATGGAAAAGTTAAAAATGATTTGCTTGTGCTGTTAGTTAGCTTGATTGTTTGTAGTTGTATAACTTTTGGCCATTTTTCCTAATATTTATTTTTATTAAATTTATTAGGATTTATATTTACATTTTAAAAGAAGTTTGGTGCTTTTTGTTAATATTTTTAAATTAGAACATTTATTTTAGGTACTACGTCTTGATTACTTTCCTGAAGACAATTTTTTTAATCAATTGAACTCCATTAACTAGCACTGATATCCAAATATCCATATCCTTTTATCGCCAACCATGGGGATTTTCATTGAGCGGAAACAGAGCATCAGTTCCAATGTTGCCCGGTATAATAAGCTGAAATCTCATGCAGTGCAAGTTTGCTTGGAGCCTTTGGGATTTTCGCAATTATTGGCGATTCGACAGCTTCCACTTCCTGCTTCCTCTAGAAACCACTATTTGATATTCAATCCTCTCAGATGTTTTTAAACCGTATTGTATCAGGAATTTAAACGATTGCTAAGGGTCAGATTGGCGATTTTATGCACTTCTAAGGATAAGCAACTATACCTAAAATATCGTAAGGACAAAAGAAAATTCTGTTACTTAATAGTTGTGCTAGTTTTACAAAACGTTGAAAGTTATGTACAAATTATTTATTAAAATAACTGTATGTTTTTTAACGATAATTTTTGCAGTAACGAAGCCGTCATCGTTGAAGAAATTGGTTAAATTATTAGGTTCTGGTTAAAATTATTACTCTGGTGGCAACAGATGAGGCTGCGAGGGGTTTTTCAAAAATATAGAATGGGCAAGTGTATCACATTTAATAAAGGACGCACAGATATAAGCTTAAGCCGCCTCTTGTAAAGTCTCCTGGGCGGTTTGCCACCCGTCGCTGTGTCGTCATTTTGAAAGCATTTTTTCAGTCCCCATTCAGATAGAATGCGAACTTCACCTCGTTGTTCCTTACTTGCTTTATTTTTTTTTTATTTTATTTTGCTGTCAAGCTGGATATTACACCTCGGATTTTGGCGCTGTCTTTCACTTTCGCCTGCTGTGACATATTTCTATGGCCATTTCCCTCCTTTTTGCCCTGCTGCGAGATAAGTTTCAGCCAGCCAGCCAGACAGACACATTTTTTTGTTGGCTTTGTTGTACTTTTTGTTTTAATCTTATAAACAATGTCAGCGTGTGCTCATGCCACAAATTGTTGCATATATCATCCGAGGGCACTTTATTGTTTTAATATGTTAAATCGTAAGTTTTTCGGAATTTACATTCTTTAATATGTGCAAGTTATGAGAGCGTTGTGTATAAAATGCAAAATACCTATTAAGAATTTTGTGAGAAGAAAATGTATTCATGCACAGAGGAAAAAGGTGTATATATTTTAAATAAAAAAGGGTAACGTTTTTAACATGTGATATTTATCAAAATATTATTTATTTGCCTTATTAGTTAAATGTTTACATATAAGTACAAAAACCTTAACCATTCAAATGTTAATCGCACGTGTATTCTAATTCCCACATCCTTCATCTAGAAATTCCTCTAATTGACATTCCTTTGGCGGCGTCTAACTAATTTTCATACATTTATCAGCACTTTTTGCGGCCCTCTGGCAAATGTAATTTATATTTCTGTGCGAGGGTTGGCTGCCTCATTTTTTTGTTTGCTACTTGATTTTTTCACCGAACATCCGGCGGGTAAATACAGAGGTAGAAGCCCAGAACCAAATTAGGCGTTTTCTAATGAAACCCAAGGATTCGTTTGGGTTTTGCCTCTGCTTTGGGTCTGTCTGCACTGATAAAAGAGTACAAAAGATATTGCCAGGGGCGATTTTTCCGACTCACACTCCGTACTCCCCACATATCATCATACATAACTCACCGTTGATTTTGTGAGCACAACTTCCCCCTTTGAGGTGCCCATTTTTCCGTTTTCTGTTTTTGTTTGCATTTATCCCACGCTCTCTGTTTGTAGTTATGTTCTACGTGCGGTTAATCGCAAATCAGCAGCGCTATTTCTTGTAACCATAATGAGGCCAATTAGGCTTGAGGCAAAAACTAAATGCCGTGTGCAGTTTGTGTAATGGGCCGCCTAACTATGTGTATGGGTCTATGGAGCTCCACCCACTTTTGGCGCCCTTTTCGGTACAATTACAGATGGGCAAACGGCCTTACATCTTGTGCGATATCCTGGCGATATCCGGGTATCCTGCAGCTTTAAGTTCCTATCCGTCAGTCATTCGAAGCCAGGATTATGCTGATGTTTTGCAGACTCTCTGGCGGCAATTGCAACTGCAATTGGAACTGCAGCATTTTATGGCTCCATTTGCATTCAAACTTTGCTCCAAGTTCTGGCTACACTTTATGACTTGTCTTCGACCAAACTTATTTTGACAGTGGTCCTTATTATGATGGTAATTTGGTTTGCGTTTGTTATTGTGGTAATAATGGCTTTTATTTGCAGTAAATAAATTCGATTTGAATTTTTCTACAAGTATATAAAATGGAAAATAAAACAAGAAAGGAAGCTACCTTCGGCCAGCCGAAGCTTATATACCCTTGCAGATAAAGTAATACTCACTCGGTGCAGTTCCAGGGATTCCAGATTCAGTGTTCCTATTTTTGAATTTTGTTTTTAAGTAGTCAAGAATTAAAACGCCTACTTCCTACAAATTAACAAGAATTTTCTTATATATGTTTGAATATTCCTATGGGAGCCTTAAGATATAGTGGTCCGATCCGGCTCGCTCCGACATATGTACTACCTGCAATAGAAAGAAGACTTTCGGGAAAGTTTCATCGCGATAGCTTTAAAACTGAGAGACTAGTTCGCATAGAAACGGACAGACGGACAGACGGACATGGCTAGATAGACTCGGCTATTGGTGCTGATCAAGAATATATATACTTTATGTGGTCGGAAACGTCTCCTTCACTGCGTTGCAAACATCTGACTGAAATTATAATACCCTTTACAAGGGTATAAAAAAGGGATAAGTAAGCGAATTAAATATCATTTGTTTTCTTAAAGCATTCTGATTAAAATTTTATTTTAAATTATCTTTAAATTTTAATTATTTAAGATAATTGTAATCTGTAAAACTAGAAATTAATAATCCCAATATTTGCATACTATTTTGTGGATTCTTGAATTGATTAATCACTAAGATGGACCATTTGTTCCTGATTCCTAGCCAACTTTAGTAGCAAATCGTGAGAAACTCGGCTTAAAGCCCTCAACATTCGACCACTTACGTGATAAAAGATTTCCGCACACACAGTGACAATGCATTTGCCAGATATTTGCACGGAAATCGCCAGAGAGCATGTGAAATATTTATGGAGGGGCATTGTGGATGTCATGATGATTAGTTGCATATTCTCTTAACCCACCGACGCCAAAGGAGCTGGCCGCCCAGCTTGTGAGGCCCTGTGCCCCCGATTTGGACCAGGCAAATATTTAATTTAAGAACATTTTCTTGCGTTATCCTCGACCATGGGACGTGGGCCACAGAATGGCGTGTCCAGTGTCCTGTCCAGTGCTGCCCTGTCCTGTCCTGTCTTTGGAAATCTCAGTTGGATTCCACCCACTTTCTTTTCTCGGTTCTCTGTTCCCTCCTTCGATTGCAGCTGAGGCTCAGTCATACTCGTATTAGCCCAAGTCAAACAATGGCATTGGCAAACCGAGGAGCAGCGCCAAATTGCAACGTGCAGAAGCCAAGGAAAGGGACCAGGAAAAGCGGAAAAATGGAGCCTGGGCAAGTGTTGTTAAGAAAATGCACCAGACAGAAAATCGATGGCAGAATGTTAGCTACTTTCTGCTGCCCCTACTGCTGCTGCTGGTTTTATTTGTTTATTTTTTATTGTTCCTTGTGGGGGAGGCACTCTAAATCCTTTGTGTGGCAGATTAACACGTGCACGCTCTGGGAACTCGGGGGGAAAAAAAGGAGAAAAAACGGAAGGTCACTTTCAAGTCGCTTGCATATCCACAAATATATTTAAATCTGAATATTTGTGCTTTCACAAAATGGAATGGTTTCTGCCCAACCTTTCAAATCGATTAAAAAATTCAAGAGAAATCAATTTGCACTTTTTTAATTAAACCCGTGTTCTTCCCTCCTCCCGTTTTTGCTTTTGTATGTCAACCACTTTGGTCGAACATTTTATTCCGTATTTTTTATGCCGCAAAAAATTCGCTTCAGTAGTTTGTCAATTGGTCGACAAAGATTGAATATTAAAAATTTCAATAGGAAAATAATTGACATTTTATTTGTTTAATGTCAAGAAATGTCATTGAAAATGTAACAACTTAAGCAAATATCTTACTGTTCCAAAAGCTGGGAAAGAAGAAAGTCTGCTCCTTTATTTTGCTCACATTTTTCTGGTTTTTATTGTAAAAATTCAATCATAACAATTAAAATTCAGTTTACATTAATTTTTATAGGGGCTTCGGTCTCTGGTTCAGTTTGAAATTATGCTATTACATTTATGAATTTTATAGATATATGTCTGCTACATATATAATAAACAATTCCATTTATCATTAATTGTTCCTTTATTAAATACTTAAAAAATAAAATGCGTCTAAATCGAAATAGGTAATTACACTCTCGATCAATAATTTTTAAATGTTCAATGTTAATGTATAATTATTTGTTTATGTTTTGGTGATTATTACCTAATCAATTATATTGGTGTGTTTTTTCTTTTACTTATTTTTGGTTTTGATCTTTATTTCTAATTACAATTTAAACATTATCAGTTTAGGTTGGTTTTCTCTTTCTTTGTCCAAAAATATACATTTCCCCCAATTTGTTCAGTTTAGTTTTGTTGGTTTTTTGTTTTTGGTTTTGTGGCTCGTTAGAGGACGAAGGCCAACGATAGATTTCTCAAAAAGGCAAAAGCATTACTATTTTTATACATTTACAATTAGGCGATTTTCTTTATACAAGTTATACAAGTTTCTTTGTTTGGTTCTCGCTTGCGAACAACGTCAAATATAACAATTCCCGACGCTAAGACTAATGTGTTTTTTCTCCGCTAAAAATTATAGATAAATGGCCCATCGCTAGATGTACACTTAAAATTCCATCAAGAAGACATTCTGTATGTGTAGCTTACAATGTGGGTGCTATGAGGAGAAGGTCTGGTTGCCCTGACCTCTTTGGGGCGATTGTTGCTGCATTTGCTGTGCATTTGGTGACATTTGGTTCGTTTGGCTATTGACATTAGCTCTACCATTTAAGCTACTTGAATTGTTTTGGCTAAGTTGGGACTTATTGTTATTGTTCGTGGCCGTGACTGTGGCAACACGTCTCAGACGATTATCCGGAATCGGTGGTGAATTCAGAGTGCCCGAATATGGCTGATGTTGCGGCGACAGCGAGGACGGACCACTTCCGCTTCCGCCGAAGGCGTTGCGAATGCTGCTGCTACCGCCCAGTCCACCCCCAGCTCCTCCTCCCACTCCACCGGCCGATCCACCGAAGATGCTGCCATTGCTGCTGCCAATCAGGCTCAGCGAGTGCTCGTTCGAGAGGATCTGGTGGGCGGCCAGGTTCATTTCCTCGGGCGTCATGTCCAGCGCCTCTCGCATCTCCCGCGCAGCAGTCCCCACAAATTCGGAGTCACAGTATTTACCTAATCCCTCAGCGGCGAGTACCTGAAAATCGGGAATCATCAATGGTTAATTATTCTACAATTATAGGACCATCTCCATCATTTGTTTTAAAACGCGAATTCTTAAGCAATTCTAGCATTAATCTTGATTTAATTTTGTATAGAATTATCTCTTCAATCAATTTGATATAAAATGTTGTTTTAAATGTTACTTACCCCTCCAATCAATGACTCGGCTAGGCCGTTCATATCAGATGAAGTTGGTAAACGACGCTGATCGTAGGGACTAGCTGGTGTCGATTGGATCATGCGTTCGTGGCCAGGAATAGCACCATTGGGTGCGTAGACTGTATGTTTGCATAAAATAAGACAATTTCAAAGATTTTTGTAAACATTTTTGTAAAATAAAATATTGATAAACGCATATTTTTATACACGCTGTGATTAGAGCTTGATGATCCAGGAGCTGATTTCTAATGTTTAATACTATATACTCTACTCTTTTATCACTATTCTTCAATATAGAAGGTACTATAATAATTGTGTTTATTTTACACTGGTTGTTGAGTATGTTTTATTTACAATAAAATGTAAGCTACTGTAGATTATGATTATAAAAACTGCAATATATGTTGGTAATAGAAAAGAAAGAATCAGATACCCAGAGGCAGTTACTCATAAGTTTTAAAATAAAACTGCTATTGGTACGATATTCGGCATCTAAAAAGGTATAAATAAATGAAATCTATTTCAATTTACACTAACACTTTAAAAAAAGTGTGAGCCTCACAGAATTGTACTATACGACCAACGGGTGTTAACCATATAGTTTCAAATAATTATCTTAATAAAAAAACTGTTAATTTATTCACGAACTATTAATATCAAACTATTTATCTCAATATATAAACAAATTTTATAATTTTTTTATTGCCTATTACTTATAAGATAATTTTGCCCTGCTTAAAAAGGATCATCAAGCTTATTAATTGAATTAATGAAATAGGATTACAGTTAATGGTTAAATAAGCATTCGATATTACAAGCTTTTTAAACACGATTTTCAAATCTATAACCTTTAAAATAAACGTTAGTATCATAAGCACAAATGAAATGATAAGTTTTTCTAAATGGAGCAAGCAGTTATTGGTACAAAAAGGGCAAAGCTCAATATTCTCCAGCAATGGTAGGCAACACTTATACGGATTTTAATGCTAGGCGTTCTAAGAACAATGCAGGCGTTGCATCTAAGCATCTAAAGAGGGTATTTTTCGGAGTTGTGTTTGTATTCACAGTGTTTAATGTTTGTGAGGTGGATGCGAAAGCCCGAAGGCCCCAATCCATGTGACAATATTTCCCACACAAAAGAAAAATAGGAAGCGACGATAGTACAACACCGAAAGACAATAGTGAATTTGGAATAATTTGGCTCGCTGATTTTTTTTTTGCATAGCATAGGATAACACATACGTAGGATATATATTTTTAACAATAACAACGAAGACAACGTTCAGATTCTCGGCTTGGGTATAACAATTGAGTATTTGTTTTTGGTTAGTAGTAGTATTATATGTAAGATGTGGTTTATATGGTCGCAAGGCACACACTTTTGTTAGGGGTACGGCTCAATAAAGCCAAGGCCAAGGCTTATGAGTAGATGGGCACAACATCACGGCTGGTTTATAAGTATATATATATAAGATATTTTATATATATAGAGAGTATATAGACATCAATATCTGTTTTTCTTTGGGTTTGCTTTTAATTACGTTCGTTCTCTCTTGTTGCTGTTGTTGCGTGTTAAACGATTGTTGTTGTTAAAGTTGTTTCTGGTACTTGTTGTAGTTTGTTGTTCTTGTTGTAGGTGTTATGTCATTAAATCCACATTGTTATCAGGGAACTCTCATATTGGATACTCGAATTAGCATAATCTTTACCGACAACGGAATGTTTCAATTGATATTTCATTTTGCATTAAAAACTTAACAAAAAATAATGAAACAAAAATAAAGTTTTGGGAAGAATCCCCATATGGAAAGGGAAACCAGTCTTGATTCGAACTCTTTGAAGACTCTTTGGACACTCAAGAATTTTGTCAGTTCGAGACTCAGCACTCGGTGGTTTTTAAACTCGAATCACTTATGCTATAATAAAGATTTTTGTAAGAAAGAGTTAGAAAAACAAATTACTTTAACAGGCACAATTGACTGATTTTTCAAATAATTTTTTCTTGTTTTCGAATATTTCTTCTTCAAAATTGTTGGTTTTTGATGGGTTTTATCCGTTGATTAGTTTGTAATTAACAAAAGGAGCCACAGACGCTTTGGTTAATAATGGTATTGCATTGTTATAAAGGGGAATCTATTTTCGAAGTGGTTTTTATGTTGGGTTAAAGTGTGGTTAGCACAATAGTTATTGGAAAGAAGTTTAGGAGAAGAGGTTGGTATCGATAGAATTTTAGATAGATCAGCCAATTTTAATATCGAATTTATTGACTTTCCGCATCGCAGTATTAAAGCGAAAAAAAGCGGTTCAATAATAAATTAATAAAAAAATATAAGTAAAATAGTTTTTTTTTATAATATTTATAATATTGTTAAATAAATCAAATATTTTCCTAAATAAGATGTAGATCGAAGCATACCGACTTTCATAAATTGTAGTTATCTCTATTCATGAATTTAAATAATTTTATAATTACGACTTTACCTGTAAATTTGCTGTTCTGAAATCAAAATATTCTCAAATAAATATGCTTTATGTATTGAAATATGTTTTTGTGTGTTGGCTTGATTTTAACTAGAATGCAGCGAAAGCGTTTCTAATTTTAGCTGTAAAATAAGCTGCACTGATATATAACTAAACTACGAGTTTGTTCTACGATAACTAGTCTATTTTATGTTTAGTTCAGAAATAAGATCTAATGGATGTGTACTACAATGTTGTGAAACATAATTACAATTTTTAATTCGATTAAGTTAAATTAATTTCGTCCCGATTAATAAACAGCCAGGAAAACACAATAAGAACGAAAAACATTTGGCCGCCTCTTCTGATTAGTTCATGATTTTGAATTTGACTCAAAAAGTCGTCTTCAACATTTTTACATGCCGCAGGCAATAAAACAAGTCTTATAACGCAGTGGGCGAGAATCTGTACATTATTATTTTATTTTGCAATATGTTTAATAGGAATGCAGCAGCTACATAATCGGAGATTAAACAAAACAAATAATTTGGTAAACAATTAGATGGGTGTTTTAATAAATTGTTGTTGCGTTTTTGTAAGGGTCAAATTTAGAGTGTATAAAAACAACAAACGAACCAATTTATTTGGAATTAATTTTTTTTAGAATTTTGTCAGTTTAAAAGGGAATCAAAAATATAAAACACATTAAATAATGTTAATTAATTGTAGTGCATTTTGTTGTTGCTGTTGCAGTTACTGCTGTAGTTGTTTTTGTTATGTTTTTATTTGTTTTAATTTTTATTATTGCAACTTGCAGCATTTTAGGCTTACCATTGTTATATGGATGCAATAAAATACCACGATTGCGGTTGCTGAAATTAATGTTCGGGGATTGAGTAAAAGTTTGGTTTATGTTTTGCTTTTCTTTTTTTCTCAATAAGTATGGTCTTTTTTTTTGTATCATTTGGTTTAAAATCCACTAGTTTATGTGGCAACAAGTATGCATTTAAAGGTATTTTGTGATTGCAACTAAGTTTTTGCTAAGTCAACTAATTTGAAACTCGTATTTGTTTTTCTTTTGTATGGTGGTGCCAAGTCAGTTTTTGAGCTTGGCCCGGCTCCTTTTGTCCATTACAAACTTCAGGGCGCTCTTCACTAGGTGACCAAACAAAATGCCACAAAACAGAAAACGATAATTGTTGGCAATAAGAAATATGGATCAACTCACTAAACAGCAAGCCATAGTAACAAGTAGTATGGTAATGGAGCTTCGTGTGTTTAAATATCATTTTTTGTTTTTTTTTTAACTTTTTCTAGGTGAGATCTTTAAAGTTGACCTACTAACCCACTCCACCTATCCACCTTGCAGATAGATCATCTGTGCCCCGCATACTCACTCATAGTTGATGGCATTCGCCTCGGGCGGCAGTGTTCCTGCCACAGTGGCCGCTCCGCCTCCGTTTTTGGCCAGCGGTCGCATGGAGATGCTCTCGCCGAAGGTCCTCAGCTCCCCGCCACTTCCGGTCGCCTGCAGTTCGTCCTGCAGCTTTCCGGCTGCCGCCAATCGGGCCTGCATTATGTTCCGCGTGATATTGTTCACCCCATCGGCCACACTGCGATTCAGGGTATCATACAGATAGTCCCCGCCCGCGGGATCGCCGCTCCCCAGGACCATCGTGCTACCGCCCATGGCAGCGGCGGCGGATCCGCCGATCGCCAAAGCACCGTTGCTCTGGGAGGCCGTCGCCTTGGCGCTCCTCCGGAAGGTTCCGTTTCCATGCCGGCGGATCGAAGACCACACGCTGCCAAAAAGAGTGTGGTGGCGCTAAAAAAAATATTAGAAAAATATTATACATTGATAAATTGTACAAATAAATTAAGCCATTTTAAGATACATGAATTTTATACGTATTTATATTTTTAACTATCAGGAGATAAATCTTTCAAAATGATAATAAATTTGGCAACATTTTATAACTTTAGAAAGCATCTTTAAGTTTAAATAAAATTTAAAAACGGAATATATCCAGGGTTACCAATAATTTCTGGTTATAGGTCTTATATTCGGTTAAATATGAGATCTATTTATTAGAAATTATTAATTTCATTATTAAATCCTTCGTTGAAAACTTACGCGATGCATCGGCTCTGGCTCCTGATCCAATTCATCCAGATTACCGGAGATTGCCCTCTTGAGGGCGGGGGAAACTTCGTGCAGCGTTCGCAGACCGGCCTGCAGTGTGACCGTATTGCTGTCCGGATGGCCCTCCTTGCCCTCCTGCTCCTTGCGCTTCTTGAACCGCCGGAAGTAGTCCTGAATGAGATATGTGGCATAGAACTTGCCAACGGTCACCTCGTCATCGTTGCCCGGCGGCGGAACCACCTGATCGAGGAGCTTGGGATTCGTACGCTTCCAGATCTGCTTGATGGTGGCCCGCAGCTCGGAGTTGGCATCATCGATATTGCCATCGGTTTTGATGCTCAGCGATGTACGGACCACGGCGAATAGTGTGGCATTGAACAGGACCGTACCATCGGAATTGAGGGGCATGTTCATGGAGACCAGTCGCTTGCAGGCCATTCGATGGGGACACAGTTTGCCGAAACCGAGGGGCGGAGAGATCTTCCGCAGCAATGTGACCACGTCCAAGTGTTTGATGCGACCCTTGGCATCCGGATCGTATTCGCTCCAAAGACGAATAAACTCGTCCAGGTGATGGGGGCCCAAAATGGACCAATCGCGTGTCAGATAATCAAAGTTATCCATAATGACGGCGACGAAAAGGTTAATAATCTGTAAGTAGATATTTTAATAGAATAATATATTTTTTTATGGTTATTTGATGGTTCTTACCAAAAACGAGCAGAGAACATAAAAGGAAATAAAGTAGGGATAGGCTATTGAGGAGCCGCACGGATCCCCAGGCGTATCTGAGTTCATATCGCACTTGACGTCCGGTTGGGCCGAGCAGGACATCATGATCTCCTGCCAGGCTTCTCCGGTGGCCGATCGGAAAAGTACGAGAACCGCCTGTTGGAAGGTCTGGAAGTTGTTATTTTCCGTTATGGCGTTACCACCATCCAAAGCAATTTTGCCAAAAACCTGAAAAATACATTTTAGTTATAATAATAATAATATTTCTCAAAAATGTATTTACTCACTTGCATCCCAACCACTGCATAAATGAAGAACAGAAGCACAATAAGCAGGGCTACATAGGGCAGAGCCTGAAAAGATTTGATAAAAGTCCAAAGCAATGTTCGAATGCCTTCGCCTTTGCTCAGAAGCTTAACAAGGCGCATAACACGGAACAGGCGAAAGAAGTTGATTGATATCAGATTTGAACCAGCCTGCCGAAAAGAATATTGTTAATGTGTATAAAGTAAGAAAATTTAATATAAACTCACGGCTTTTTTTGCAGTTTTACAGCCCTCGACAATGTCGCACTCGTTCGTTTTTGGAGGTTCCTTGCTCTGCGAATGTAAGAAACGATTAAATTAAATACTTATCCACATATCACATTTAAAAACCTTAATTTCAGAGTAGACAATGTCTATAAAACTGCCCAAAACAATGATAAAATCGAAAACGTTCCAGGCATCACCAAAGTAATTCTGAAAAGTAATAAATAAGATAGTTACTATTTGATTTCATATAAAGTTTAGTAAGTTCTTCTACCTTAAATCGAAATGCGGCTAGTTTGAAAACAAACTCCAGGGCAAAGACCGCTGTAAATATCATATTCAAAGCATCCAAAAGTTCCGTGTACCACAACGGCTGATTGTAGAACTTCATGGCCAGCGTTACCGTATTTATCATGATCAGTATAAAGATGGTGTACTCAAAGGACGATGATGTGACGAACCACCAGACCTTATATTGTATACCGTGCTTCGGTATATAGCGCCTCACAGGCTTCGCTTTCAAAGCGAACTCTATGCAATTACGCTGGTTCTTGTCCAGATCACAATTTTTGTATTCCTGTTCACCCTCGTTCTGGAAGGTGACAATAACGAAACCGACGAATATGTTCACCATAAAGAAGGCAATAATAATAATGTAGATTATATAGTAGGCAGCCACGATCGGACGGAAGTTGTGTATTGGACCGCCATCTTCTTTATTCGAATCAATTGAAACGTACAGCAAACTGAAATTTGTGAATAGATAGAATATAATATATAAAGAATATAAAATATAAACTATTTATTTACCCGGGCCAACCCTCAAAGGTGGATACCGTGAAAAGGGTCAACATGCCCTTGGCCACGTCGTCGAAGTGGAACCGATTGTTACTCCATTCCCGTTCCCTGAGTCGCGGCTTGTGGACATCCCCATCATCATAGACCAGATAGGTTCCGCTACAAAACATAATTCTATTAAATCTGAGTTCATTACTTACTAAAATATTCGGATACTTACTAGCATTCTTCTTGCGACATTTTGGATCCATCAGTGCACTTGAAAAATTTACCCTACATTTTTGATGGGTTTTTGAATTTGTGATGGAACGTATGGGTATGGAAAGATAGTAATACAGTTAGCGTATAAAGTGGTAAAGTCGATATGTTATGGATAGCAATCTCAACGTTAAGTAATCTTCGATCGAGTTTGCTTTCCCAGGGATCACAAACATTAAAACTGCTTTACTAAACGGACTATTAACTAATACCTAGTTCAAAAATAGCTTTGAGCAGAATACGATAGACTATCTAGTACTACATATTTGCTTAGATGTATGCACACATTTACAGGGTGTTCCATATGCAAACACATTTACACATTCACTGCTCGAAATTGTTTGGACAGAGCAATATTTACAGACAGGACACCAACAATGGTTATTGGGTTGAAAAACAGTGTTACATACATGGGAAGAAATATAGAAATATATTACATTGGGTTAGCGGGGGAGCGAGCTAACATTGCCTTAGAGGTTAGTTTGGAAAAGCTGGAAAAACCGAACTAAGCTGTTTGGTAAGATCTTGAGAATATTTTTTTTTTAGTTTACCAAGCTGTTGAGAAGCGACATTTTTTCTGTTGCAAAGGAAATGGTAAAGAAACGAGACTCAGACTTTGCTCTAGAAAAAGCCTTCTGTTTGGTCATATTCAAAGATATAGCATCGATAATAGTTACCTTCCAATAAAAATTACCCTACACAAAAATACCAAGAACTACAAAATTCAAAGCACACATAGATTAAGCTGCGATTTTAATTTTATTTATATTGGTTCCTTTCGAAAAATAGAAGCGCACACTTAAAGCCGTCTGAAGATACCCTTCACCAATGACTTTTCATATATAATTCAAAAGAAATTACCTTAAAGAGTTGTACTCCAATAACAGCGAACATGAATTGTAACAAATATGTCACCAACATGATATTACCAATGGTTTTTATGGCGACTACAACGCACTTGACCACATACTGCAGAAGTTTAATGTTTTTATCAGTGTAGGCCAATTGGTTGGTTGTTCGAATTTATAACGAATGAATGACAATTAAAATATATTTTTTTTTTCAATTCAAGTTTGTGTGGTTTGTCAGCATCAATTAATGGGGTTATTTTTTGTATTTGGTGGCCACATTTTTATATGATGAAATCAAATGGTTTTTGGCATTATATCAGAATTAATAATAAGACATTTTTGTTGGGTTTGCAAAATTCAATTCAAAACAACCGAAACACGTTCGAGGGGAGAAAAAGGGAAGAAAATACGTTTTAAATATTGGGACATCCTTTTGTGAGAAGTTTTTTGTGTGATTTTGTAAATTCTAAAAATAGGTTTCTCGTTATATTTTGTACAATTACAGGAATAATAAGAAAAACAGAAGATATAAATACAAAACAAATCAAAATCAAAAGGTTTAGCTTATGAGGGTAAGGATAATTAATAATGAAATAAAAATGTAATACATTTAAAATAATTATTTTGGGAATCCACAGTAAAAGTCATACTTTGTAAAATTTAAGAACATTAAAAAGAATATCTTTGTTTATCCAGAAAAATACTTGAAAAGATGAATTTACTGTGGATTCATTAGGCTTTTCTATTTAAAAACTGCAGTGAGTTGTTGTTACTGATGGTCCGAAACTTGTTGGGTTCTTTACACCTGGAAGGTTTATTTACTAAAGGACGGATTGGCCTTGATGCTAGGGTGCAAGGTAGGTTGCTGATTTGTTGCTAAAGGGTAAAAACCAAAGCTCATGTGCTGATGTGTGCGCTATTATTTATACAGCGTACATATACTGTATGTGTAAGTGTGCTCATGATCGCTTATCTATATCTATTGTTGCATTTAGACGTGTACAAACGCGGAAAATGGGTGTGGAATATATAAGAGTTGATATTACAATATATGGTATTGTGTGAGTTGTGTTAGGATCGGTGTAATCGCGAAAAGGGGGGTTAAGAGTTCTTAAAAATATATTTTATCCCTGTTATTGCTTTATAAAGATTTCTGGTTCGTTTGTATTAGTTTGTGTTCAATACATGTCCTGTATATTACTATTTGCTGATATATCTTTGATACCGACTTGTCCATTATCATATTATGCTGAGCATTAATAAGCAATACTAGCCAGCTAAAATTGGTTTTATGTACATTTGCTAGTAGATTGGAATTTGTTGATTTAAATCGGTTTGCCGTTTGAATTTAATTTATTAAGTTATAAATAAAACCAATAGAACTACACAAAAATTAGTCAACAAATTTTTTAACCAAAACAAATTAAAAAAGCTTTTCAACAATATTAGTAAAAGTGCAAATTCAAACAAAACATTTTTTTAAACGACAACAATATGTTAGGATTTTTTCGATGTTGCATGTGTGTACACCCAAAAGTAGGAATAATAAATGAACTTCTTAAATGTCTGATTAAACTCCACCTTAAAATAGGTTTTATAAAAATATAACTTTCATTTATGTATAGTAGCTAAATTAACTTAAGCTTTTCCGTTGAAGATGTTCATAAAAAGGTTACATGCGGTTGATATAAATCCAGTAGTTTGTACATCATTAAATTGATTCTAAAATGCTATTTTTACAGATCCTTAAAAGCTAAATATTTAACACCCTAGGTTGAAATTAAATTGGTTTTTCTATTCTTTTTTTCAATTTTCCTATACTTTTTGGACTGCATACTTAATTAAAACAGAGGCAAACGAAGTGGGAACTTAAAAATAAAATCATACCTTAAACAACTGGACTCCTATTACGGCAAACATGAACTGCAGTAGGCATGTGACGAGCACAATATTTCCGATAGTCTTTACAGCGACTATGACACATTGAACAACATGCTGTATGTGATACGACGGTATATAGTTATAGTAATACTCTATTAAATATATAAAACTAATCATAAATAATGCAGGTTTTTGGTTTCTGACTTCCTTTTATCGCGCGAACAGTTTTCTGGTCTTGTGTTTAGTATTAGGGGTTATTACATAGATTTCACTATGCCCAAGCCACGCCCATACATTTCTATTCCACGCCCATTTTCGTTAGGGTGTTACAAGTAGAGCTCAAAATAAAAAAAATAGTTTCGTCAACTATGCATAGTTCATGAATATACTTTTTGTTGCTTTTTTTTTGTTTTTTGGATAACTTTATTGTGGTGCACCCTACACCCAGCATTTCAAGGTTTTTGGTTTGGCATACTCAAAAGTTAATTGAAGGCCCAAATCCTCTTCTTTGAGGTTATGGATGTTTAACATTTTTATATTGCTCATTAGTTGAAAATAAAAATTGTAATTTACTGTGTGCTTTTCGTAGCTAAATAAAAATCAAAATAATAAAACCAAAACTCAAAGAAAAAGTATAATCATTTTTAATTGAAGCATTTATTTGAGTGTCAGAAAAATAGATAGCGAGATAGGATAAGGTTTTAATGGATTCTTACCTTGAGACCCTTGGCACGATTAATGGCTCTGAGTGGCCTTAAAACACGAAGCACACGTAGAATTTTCACGACTGAAATCGCATTCGAACTGCAGTTGAAATCGACGTTATAGTTTATGTTCCAGAAGTAATTAGTATCACAACTACTGGGTTAGAGTAGTTATTTAGATTATCGTTTACCTGGACACTAGAGAGATCAATGACACGCAGACCACAAGTAAATCTAATAGATTAAATGCGGATCTGCAAAAGGCTCCGTCGTGTAATACGAAACCGTATGAAATCAATTTCAGAATCAGTTCTATTGTGAAAACTGCCGTGAAAAAATAATCAAATTTATTGAGCACCTGCAAAAACAAATTGACAGTGGTGAAGGACATCGAATGAAAAGTGATTTTAGTTTAAAGCAAAGGGGACTTCAGCTATTTTCAAGCTTCAATCGAAACTTACAAGTTTTAAATATCATTTGACGCTGTTTCTTTTTTTTCGGTTTGGAACAGGAGCTACTTACTTTGTTCAGTTCATCGTTGGCTCTCAGAGGATTTTCTGCTGCCAACATAGCCGACGAAAACATAATGCAACACAGGATGATATTGCCGAAGTTGCTGTGATTGCAAAGCCAATGGCAGAAGACGCGGAATCTATAGAAATATGGTTGAATACATCGTTAACGAACGAGTGCCGAAAATATTCCGTTTCACAGAAATAAAATCACAAGTAAATATTTATATCATGCAATTAGAGTTTTCACAAGACAAGTTAATCAACAAAATCAAGGAATAAAAAGCAGCTAAGAATCTATACAAAATTTGGTCTACCAAAATCAATTTCTATAATCTAATCAAACTAAAAATAAATTCGGGATTGTTCGGACTTATGACAATATACAAAACAGGGTTAAACAAAGGGACAAAAACATGATTATTGAAATTATGTTTTTAGAAAACATAATTTACGCATACACATACACGAATTGCACACACATATGCAAAATATATATAGGATTTTCGGAGACTTTCGATACTCGGGGGAAAAATAAAACTCAAACATAAAAACCTGTTCGTTTGCGAGAAAAGAAAAAATGATGTGCCCGGCGGTATGGGTAGAATTTTCGTTGCCGTATTAACCTCGGACATACGTCGGGGTCGTGCTGTAATCATGCCTTCTTCATCCACTATATGCAATACAAATTTTATCATATATTACGTTTATATATGCAAGTTTGCCAATTTGGAAAAAATAATAAATACATTTATAAGAATTTGTCCAAAAACCATTTATACAATTAAACTACAGATATCTTATAAATAAACTTAGGCTCTTACAAAAAATGTTTCGATTGTACCTATACTTATTACTAACCTTCAATGAGAAGAAAGTAATGAAAAATAAATACTTAAAATTGGCCAACCTTAAGAGCAAAATGCAAATGGAAATTAAGTAAATCAAAAATATTATCGGTGTCGTAATGGGGTTTTTTGTGGGTATTCTTGAAACTAAAAAGGATACAAGTTATATACATTCGCAATACGCATTAGATACAGCTCGATAAGGAATTATAATCGATTGTTTGTTTCACATGCGAACAACAAACGGCTGAAGGAACCAGTGTAAAATAAAGTAACTCCAATCACAAGACACATGGACCATATTAAAAGAGTGTGCGGTTGTGTGTTTTGTAGGATGTCGATCGATCGATTGATTGATTGGTTGATTGAATTACCTGTTCGTGTAACTGAAAATGAAAAAGGCACTGCCTCGCGGGATGGGCTTTTTAGTCTTCTTCATGCTGACTTCGGATAGTCGTCGGGGTCGTGCAGTGACACGTGCTGATACTTCGGAATTGGAGTCTTTCGATTAATATTTGCAAGTGTTTTCGTGTGTTTTTTATTTTGAGTGCATGGTTTCCGAAAAATAGCAGCAGTTGATGTAGGCGTCGGCGGCATTGTTTTAGGAAATATTTTTGATTTGTTTTCGATATGTGTTAGTTCTTTGAGAAAGTCTAAGCATGTAAGCTAAAATACTTAATTTATAGTTCTTAGATTATGGATAAATCTTACACTTAGTCGGTGGAAAAGTTAATAAAATTCAACATGACATACCTTCTTCTTCTTCCTCGCACATTTCACGGACTTCCTCATCCGATAAGGTTTCATGGTCCCTAAAAGTATATGAGAATTAGTTTAAGATTTTAACTCAAATATTTAATTCTTAAATTATTTTTCGCTCTTCCTACATTTTTTCTTCGTCATCCAGTTCTTCATGCTCCATATCAATGTCTATGCTGAGATGATCATCCATGCCATCGATTGTTGGAGTGGGACTATGTGACTTCTTCTGAGCTGACTCATCATGCTGGAACAATCAAGTGGATTACCAGATATAACTATATATAAAGACATTCCCAACTTACAGGTTCCTCTTCCTTTTCCACCTCGGACAGCGAGTCGGCATCGGCCAAATTATCCACAGCAATGGCCAAGAACACGTTCAGCAGGATATAGTTGCCGCATATAAACAAAATGATAAAGTAAATACAGGCCAAAGCACCGTAAGAGGACACTCCGCCATAGGCATTGATGCCCACATACATCACAGCATTCCAATCTTCACCAGTCATGATCTGGAAATATTATATCATATCAATAGGATTCCATTCTGGAACAAGGAAACTCGCTTACCTGAAAGACCGTGAGCAGAGCTTGCCAGAAGCAGTCGAAATTCATCCGATACTTCTCCTCCTTGCCATCAAAATTAAATTTACCGCCAAAGACTTGCATACCCAGCAGAGCAAATATCACAATAAATAGGAAGAGCAGTAACAAAAGCGAAGCAATCGATTGTATGGAGTTCAATAGGGAAGCGACGAGATTGGAAAGGGATCGCCAGTACCTAAAAAAATAAAAGTGTTATTAAAATGTCGCAAATAGAAATAACTTTTACTCACTTGGTTACTTTGAAGACTCTCAGTAGACGCACACATCGCAACACGGATACGCCCAGAGGAGGCATCATTCCCGTATTGGTCAACAGGGTCTCTGTTATACTGCCAATCACCACGAAACAATCGAAGCGATTGAACAAAGACACAAAGTAGCCCTGAAAGCCCAGACTGTACATTTTTAACAACATTTCACAGGTGAAAAGACCGATGAAGAACATGTTGGTGTATTCTGAAAAAAAAGTAACGTTTAGGTAAAGTTAAGTAAAGTAATGTAAAGTAAAGAGCAATCTACTACCGCGAATTCTTTAGCACATTTTACACTTAGACTCACCCTGAAAGTTATTCAGCCAATCGAGTTGCCCGTAGTGCTCTGTGGCCAGGACTCCCGTGTTGAGGAACACCAGGACAATGATGAGCCAGTAAAATGCCTGGGACTTGACAGCCTTGCGGCAGGCTCGTCGCATTCGTCTGTTGACCCGATCGAAGTCCTTTTTCATTTTACGCCAACGCGATTCAGTCAGCTGGACCTCGGGCATTTCCTCGCCCAGGTTCTCGGTGGAGTCCATTTCGTTGGGCTGCTTGCCCTTGCCATCGGATATCAGGCCGCCCACGGCGTCCGGTTCGATGTCCTCGGCCTGGGTAATCCAGTCAAGGTATCCCCGCAGATCCTCTTCGATTTGCTGCTTCTCGCGCAGCTTCTGGAAGTCACCGCGATTCTTGGCCTTGTTACGCTCCTTGGAGAACTCTCCGGACAACACACCGAGAATTAGGTTCATCACGAAGAAGGCGCCCAGAATGACCATGGAAATGAAGTACATCCACTGCCAATCGCTGCCCATCGCATCTTGGATCTGAACAAAGAGATATTTGTATAATATTTGCAAGATAATATAATTATAATCTGAATCTTTACTTACGCTATATAGGACATCCGTCCAGCCCTCGAGGGTGACGCACTGGAACACCGTCAACATGGCCAGGCCAAAGTTGTCGAAATTGGTAATGCCATCGTTTGGTCCATCCCAGCCGCCGTAGCACTTAAAGCCCGGCGGACATTTGTAGCCCACTCCACAGGGTCGGATATTCTCCTCGAATTCACCTAGATTCCGATTCGTTGGATTTTGTTTGGTTTAGGATTCATGCATTAGTGATGTGGAGAAATGTAATGGAATGAGGTGATAGATCTGATATATCTGAGAGATACTGTTGTGTTCGTGGAGTGCCATTTTAGTTTCTTTTGTAGTGCAGTGTCATTTGCGGAATATGCCGCATCTTTGGCATATTTGACTTGTCCCAAACAATTGATAGCTTCAACAGTTTTATTGACTAGCAGATTAGCCGGAAGTCGAGGCATTTCATCCATCGATTTCCAGGCGCACTAATCTACTAGTGATAGAACCTTTTTGGACCCTGATTTTGTAATGCGACATATCTGGTGGCATTCAAGACATTTGAATGATATTCGTACAACGTATAAATATTGTACGGATCGATGATGATGGGAGGATACGTTTGCTCCGCTTACCTGTGATCTCGTCGCGACACGCCTTGTGCAATTTGCCCGAGAAGAGCTCTAGGCCAATGATCGCATAGATTATGATTACGAACAGGACCAGGAGTGCAATGTGAAACAGTGGCACCATGGCCTTCAAAATTGAATTCAGCACAACCTGTAGACCTGTAGGATAGCGTTATGAATTGCCAATAATCGATTGGAGTTTTGGGTGCTCATTAGCTTGGTTGGCGGCTGAATATCTAGTGCGTACAATCAAAGCTTTGCAGAAAACACGGCACAGAAATTATAATGCATCTGAAGACGGAATTAGGTACTACATATTTAGATACAAATCTATTACAGTTTCCATTTAGATTTTTTTACGATTTATTTATCATATACCTACGAAAATTCATTATGGTTTAAAAATCTGTAACTGAGTCTATCGGAAAATGCAATTTTACTTTAAAAATATTAAGGAGCATTAGGAAGAACAGTATGAGTAGTGACAGAAATCCTCTGGTTAAAAGATATTTTCTTTACAATTTTTCAATTTTAACTGTGCAGTATTTTAACTACGAATCAGTCCGTAGTTGCTAGAATTTCGCTCTACCGGGCCTGGGGACTTCGTTTTTGGGTATAGATTTTGTTTCGCTGATGCAATGGGAATCTTACTTGGTACACCCGATACAAGTCGCAGTGGACGTAGCACACGAAAGGCACGTAGGGCCTTCACATCGAAGGCGTCCTTCATCAGTTGGGAGAGTGCAGTACTTATCGCTCTGGAAAAATGGGCGGCATACAAAGTTCATACGTGTCTCAGACTAGGCATGTTTTCATTTCGATAGTTTTTGATATTTTTTTTTTTCATTTTCGTTTTACGATTTTCTGATTTACTGATTTGGTCAATTTCGATTGAATTGGATATAAGGTAACATAGAAAATGGTTAAAACGAGGCCGCAATGGGCCTGGGCGCTAAGCGCTTTTAACTGGTATATTTTATATGCTTACCCTATAACTACAATTGTAAAATCTAATAAATTCCATCCATTTCTTAGATATGCACCATTATGTAACACAAAACCATATGCTAAAATTTTCATAACACATTCCGCTGTGAATATTACTAGGAATATATATTCAACTTTTTCCTGTGTTTCGGTGTTGGTTTTTGTTTTCGATTTTGTTTTTGTTTCGGAGTGCATGTGATTTTTTTGTCGGATCAGGGATTCGGATTCAGAGTTGGTTTCAAGGATCGTATCGTTGGTGCATTTGTGAGTGTGAGGTGAAGTGTGATTCGGATGCGGATGATGAGGTGAAAGTAAGAGATGCACGAAAGAAATTCAAATTCATTAGTAAGCCATAATACAAGTTTTTCATTTCAAAAGTAACCCTGATATGGGCAGGACTTACCAAAGTTTGATTCGTTATGTTCGAATCGCTGCCCGGATAGGGCGTGTATACAGCCAAGGCAATACAATTGGCAAATATGGTTAACAAAATAAGGAACTCAAATGGTCTAGAAAGGTAAGAAGGTTAAGGAAAGCCAGATCGAAGTTTTTTCTGTGCTTTAGCGAACTAGTTCAACAGTAGATTGTTATACCTAATTAATTAGTTTTTAAAACTCCATAAAATAATATTTGTTAGCTAATAATTGTTAATGTTAAACTCTTGAACTAGTTCAATGTTATTTTTGTTTTGGATATGAAAAGGATACTTCCACTCCACAATGCGAATGCACAGGGCTCGCAAGGGATTCTTGAGGCTCAGGCAAAATAGGGCTCTTTGCGGTCTATCTGGCTGCGGTTTGCCCCGTCGCTGTTGTCTCTTTTGGCCAGCGGCACCGGCGGCAGCACCAGCTTTTTGGCCACCAGCTCCACTTGGTCCAATTGTGGTGCCGTTCATGGTCTCCGGAATGTTTGCAATGCCCATAGAATCGATGCCTGGGTTAGCGAGTTAAAAGGGTGGCAATATTAAGAGGAAAAAAATATTTTAAATTTTATAGGTAACTATAAGATTTTTGAATACCCTTCTAAATATGATAGTAAAAAAATATAGCAAATTAAAAAATAATCTTTAAAATGATTGGGTCATTTTTCCCATTTAAAGAGACTGAAGACTCACCCATGATATTGTTGCCGCCGCCCAGATCCCCCTCCCCGGAATCGTATCTGGCCACCCTGGAGGCATCGCCGCTGCCGGGACCTCCATTGCCATTTGGCGAGAAGCCACCTCCGCCGGAGGCTCCGCGCTCAAAGTCCATGATGTTGAAGAACTTGCCCGCACCGCCACCAAAATTGTCAATTAGCTCCGCGGAACTGGAGTAGAATGGCGAAAAGGCCTGGGTGTCGTCCTCCTCCTCCTCGAAATACTCGTCGACGTCCTCGTCGTCGTCGTCCTCCTCCTCCTCGTCGTCCTCTTCAGCGGATTCCCCTTGCTCCAGCTGCTGCTGTTCCTGTTCATCAATGTCAATGGTGGTGCCCTCGGGCTCCTCGTCGTCTAGCTCCTGATCTAGCTCCTGATCATCGTCCTCCTCGGTGATCCTGCATGTCCTCCTTATCGACGGACGATTCCGCGAGTTCTTTCTCACGACAACGTCGGCGTTGTCGTCGACCTCACCGACGTCTTCGAGGGAGTCGTTGTTGCCGCTGCCGCCGATATCCTGGATGATGCGGACACCCTCATCGGCATCCTGTCGCTGCCGATCGCTGAAGCTCTCGCAGTCGGCTAGCGATTGCTCCTGGGCCTGTTCCTTGGCTGCAGCCGCAACTGCGGCAACGATGGCCGCTGTGCGAAGGGTCTGCGAACTGAGATCCTGATTGGTGTGTCCTCCGTCGTCGTCCTCGTTATAGTCCTCGTCACAATCGCCGATAAAGCTGCTAACGTCGCCGACGCCGAAGCCGTGGAGGGTGCTATTATCACCGGTTATGTCGCAGTTGCAACTGTTGCTGCTGCTGCTGTCGCCACCGACGGCACTGTAACTACTATCCTCGTCGCAGCCACCACTAAAACTGCTATTCGTGCTGCCCGCACTGGTGACGCTGTTCTGCGGCTGCAGCTGCCACGCCTCTTCGGGCGTTAGCCTTTGGGGGGGCGGAGCACTAATGCCACCACCGCCGCAGGAGGTGCAACTCGATTTGCGACGCTTGCCGCTGGAGGTTGAGGGTCCTGCCGCGGAAGGACTGGTCGCCGATCCACTGGCTAATCCCGTCAAGGAACCCGATCTGGATTCGCTTGCAGCTGCTGGTTCACCGTTGTTGCTTTTATGCCGGCGCTGTTTAAAGTCTAGCTTGTAGGTGGAGTTGTTCACAATCTGACTGGTGACGTTGCTGAGGGCGAGCTCAGTGCTGGTGGGTCGCCTCCTGGTCCCACTGGGCTGATTCGGATCCTCGGGCGGATCGAGGGCACTGCAACTGTTTTGGGAGGGGGAAGAGGAATTAGTATTAGTATTTCACATCAAATTAAATATTCGAATTGCACTTGCCATCAACCATTTATTCTACAGGGTGGGGTGTGGCCATATATCATATACCAAAATCAAATTTATGTTGCTTAGCTTAATTTACCCTAATTTAGCTCTAAATTACAAAGATCCTAAAGCCAATAACTTTAAAGTGTTCCATTGTCAAAATTCCCTAACTTAATTGGGGGTGTTTAGAATTTTAACAATTTTTTTTCGCTCAAATCTGTTCTGGTTTTCGGATATTTTTAATTAGAAGCTATTTGATGAAAGATAAACATTTTCTTAAAAATATTTTATATATTCTATATGATCAAAAAGGGTATGAATTTATAAAGTTAAGTTCCCTATTTCAAACTAATGAATGACAATTAAAAAACAGAAAAAAATCAATCCTCTGGCAGATGTTTTGTGTTAAATGTTGAATAGTCATTATAAACTGAAATAGTTTATGGAATATCGTCAATAAACAAACTAACTTTACAGTGTTTTTATGGCACATATGTTTAACCTATTATGACTAAAACTGGCGGGCTAATTTAAAGCCATCGTAAATCAACAGCTAGGTGGGTGCCAAGATCTAGGCAATCAAATCTTGATGATTTCTGCGATATTAATAGGTTTATATATTTTTAAAATTATATTACGCCTAGAATAACTTATTAATATCGAGTTTAAAGTCGGTTTCTATATAATCAACTCAGATGTGGGCTTCAGATGGCACATTAAATACTTGGCATGCGATTTCAGACACACGAGACACACAGTAAGACGACGAGCACAGGGGACAACATTGAGTCACGATAGGAGTACGATAGTTAGTAGTTAATTGTGGGGTCTGGTTCCGACTTACTATGCCCTAGAGCGCCTAGTAGTATGTTCCATGAAATCAAACCCTTGCATTGCATGGAAAATGTATTTCTTTTCGTGCTCCAGCTGGAGCTGTATGTACCTTTGTTGCAGGACCGTTCCCGAGGCCGTTCCCAATCCTGCTCCCAATCCCGCTCCCGTGGGCGTACTGCCCGCCGATGCCGAGGTGGTTAGTGGGTTAGCGGGAACCGGAAGCGTTATCGTAGGCGATCGATGCTGATGATGGTGTTCCGGCTTCACAACGACCACTTCCAAATCACTTTTCACCGACGACGATGACTTGCGATTGTACTTTCGACTGCCACGCGTCGGAGTTTCGGCCTTCAGATAGCGCCGGGAAGTGGACGGGGAGGTGGGCGAGGGTTTCCTCTCGATGACCAGGGTGTTGTCATCGTAGGCTATACAGTTCACCAGCTCCCCGCCACCCATCACAGTAGTTGGGGCGGTGGTGGAAGTGGAGGTTGAGGTCGAGGTCGAGGTTTCCCTCTCCCGTTCCCTTTCCCTTTCCACATCGCCACGGTCATAAAGTTTGGCCTCCTTTTGTCTCTGGAATTGCAATTGCCGGCGACGCTGCGATGAGGAGGTGGTTCCACTTCCACTTCTCGACTCTATCGGCTGCTTCTGATTCTGACTTTTCGAGGGACATGATTCATCGACGATGACAACACTGGCCGGCAATAAATCTCGGCCCGCCGCCTCCCAATTCTTATCGCTAGTGGAGTCCCTATCCTTATCCTTATCCTTATCGTTATTGTGTTTATGATTTAGTTTATTGTTAGCACTAGAACTATCCAAGGCATCGTGTCGGGTAATTGGTTGCTGTTGCTGTTGCTCTGACTGCTGCGGCGATTGTTGCTGTTGCGGTGTTAACGAGGCTTGCTCCTTACGGTCTCCTTTGGATATTGGCAATGGGGTGTTTGTGGGCGGCCCGGTGGGTGGTAGTACATGGGTTATTAAAGTTAGTAATCAAATATGAAGTATGGGGGATATTGATTGGCATAGTAAGGTCTATTTCATATTCAAAGAAATTAGTTTCGTTAATATAATACGAAAGAATTATTACTTTAAAGAAATAATACGTCTTACACATGTTAGCATGGACTAATGTTATTGAATAAATATATAATTTATTTCATAAAAAATAAATATTAAAAAAAACAAGAGAAAACGCTATAGTCGGGTTGGTGTCCCGACTATCTAATACCCGTCACTCAGCTAAAGGGAGTGCGAACGCTGTACTCGGGTTGGTATCCCGACTAATAATCGTAACTCAGCTAAAGGGAGTGCGAGGGAGATAGATATATAAATTTTGATTGCGTATAACTTTTTAATGAATGGTCCGATTTGGAAAATGTCTTCTACATTTCGATAGGAATAAATATACACAACAAAATTGCATTTTTACTTTTCGGAAATCTTTAAAGATGTGGGCGCAGGACCCATTTTAAAATCGTTAGTTGGCGATTGTGGGCGTTAGAGGGGGCGTGGCGCTCGGCTAAAATAAACTTGCGCTGCGTAGGAAGCCAAAGAATATGTGTGGGAAATCTCAACCTTCTAGCTTTTGTAGTTTCTGAGATCTCAGCGTTCATACAGACAGACAGACGGACAGACAGACGGACAGACGGACAGACGGACAGACGGACAGACGGACAGACGGACAGACGGACATGGCTAGATCGACTCGGCTGGTGATCCTGATCAAGAATATATATAGTTTATAGGGTCGGAAACGCTTCCTTCTACCTGTTACATACTTTTGCACGAATCTAATATACCCTTTTACTCTACGAGTAACGGGTATAAAAATTAATTTTTTGTTGCTCTTCTTTTCATATATAATGGAATGAACAAATCCTCATTTCCAATCATTTTAAATTTTAAATAGTTTTGGTATTGATTAAAAGTCCTTGTACCTGTACTCATATTTGAAGTTTCATTCGGACGCACAATATTGATTGCCTTTCGTTTAAAATGCGTTTAGAAGAGCGCTTTCCTGGGTGAATGGTGCTTGCCAAAAGCCAAATATCGAAATGTGGTCAAAGCATCGCAGCAACAGGTGTGTTTAGTCTCAGTCGCCACACAGACATGCACACTTTGTTATTCAGACTCACTTAAATACGGTGAAAGCTTTTGGTTTTGTTTAGAAAATGGGTTTTTAGTTGTAGAAATTCGACGGTGGTGACATTTAGTTTTTTGCTGTATTTTTATGGTCTTTAGTTTGGACGATTTTAAAGCGGCGGTTTGTAAAAATTTGGCATTTGTTTGTTAGTCTGCAGTGGAGAGTCGTTTAAAGATTGTAGATCTGCAAGGAAGGCGTTTTTAATAGGGAGTATCACAGTAATCCATTGGAGATTTTTAAATCTACAAAAACCTTTTTCATTTTTAAGCAGTCGATGACACCAAGAAACTTTCTAAGGCCTTCTGGAAATTTCTTTGAAATCCCTAGAGAATTTTATAATGGTTCAATTAGTTTTTGGGGCATATTTTCGGTTAACTCCTGCTATCAGAGCACTTTATTGGATTTTGTTTAATTCCATTTGAGTGAACAGACAACGAATTTTCATCGGCGGTGATAGGTGATAGCTTATCGGCATTTCCTGGCACCACAGAACCACAACCTATATATATAACCCACTTATTTGGGTGCGTGAGAGGGAGAGCGCATCAAAACAAAAACACGCGCAATGTTTACATTTTTCTTTGTTGTCGCAACGACTTTTTTGTGACCCAACTGTCAAATGGGCAATCAACTTTGGCTGAGAGAAAGCGACGACTTTCTCTCGCATTCTCTCCCGCTGGCAAGCTCCTTCTGCAGCCGAGCTTTTGGCCTTTGCAGCAAACAAAATATAACTTTCATTAAATTACCAAAAGATAAAAGCCTTTAAATACTATTTTCGGTTATAATTCGTGGCTAAATTTGATTTGGATGGGGAGAATAAATGGGGTACTTCCCCGAAAAACCTAGAAACATATTAAGGAGGTTGAAACTCAGCCTGTTACTTCCTGGGAAATATCAAAAAACTCCATAGACAAGAAATGGGGTCAAGAGCGCGCTTTTGGCAGTAGAAAACTAATTTGCTCATGGTCTTTTGATGGCCCGCCTGGGAAATGCTGTATGGATACATTTGTGCCTGGCTGGCTTATTAATTACATTAAGTATTGCAGGTTTTGGTAAGGGTTTTTAGCCGTTGAGAGCCGTTCAAGCTGACCGATTGACCTACCCACGCATATGTAATAGCTCACACACACAGGCACAGACCAGCTCGCCACCGCACTAACACATGCGAATGTGTGAAAAATTTCTAAAGGCCCACTGCGAAGAAAGTGAAAACAGCTTCCCGTTCTATCCCTTTAAACTGTTATTAGGCCCCCATTCTGGTGTTAAACATTGCACTTTACTATTTCCGTGTTATGGCCTTAATTTGTTTGATTTTCCTGGCTTTTCAGTACTGTATTTTATTGTATTTTACACACGCGACCATCAGCAACGCGAACGAGTTTAAGGAATCAGCCACAAAAGCACACTGTGCAGGAAAATTCAGCTTTTCGCAGAGGCAACCGTGAAAATGTTGATGTTATCCCCAAGAAAAGCTTAGGATTCGGAGCTTGCTTATCGATTGGTGAAAGGTTGTGAAACCGGGAAGTTTGGTGTTGGTGTAACTAGGAAACCAAAAAAGCATAGACAGTTTCAAATTTAAAACCACATGCCGGACTGAGAAAACGCCTTACAATTTCTTTTAAGCTAAAAAAAGGCATTACAATTTTTTAGTTTATAATCTATAAATACGAAATGATTTTTGTGTGAAATTTACCAATCCATTTGTGAATCTTTTTATATTTAATTATATTTAAACTTTTAGTTTTCTGTCAAATTAAGTTTTTGTTTTCCATTTTGGGAAAATGGGTTAATAACTTAACATAATTTATTAACATAAATAAAATAACTTAAATAAATATATTTATATTGAATAAAGAAGCTGAACTTACTTAGGGCACTAATTTAAAATTATAGAAATGTTCAAAAAATAATACCAAAATAACTAACTATAAAACAATGCCTAGGTTTTTCACAAATAAATATTTAAAAAGGCAATTGTAGAGGGGGAAATCCCAGAGTTGTTGCTTAACATAAGTTGAACCTCTGTGTTTACAAACAAATCGAAATCGACCCGAAAATGTGCCGACGAACGAAAGCGGGAACCAAATATTTATGATTTTGTTATTTCTGTTGTTGTCTGAATTTTCTCACTCTTGCTAGAGATATTTTTAAGAATAGATCGGGAGAGTGTTCCGATACTGAGTATCTTTATCCCGCTTGCACTCACATTTGTTGTCAAACAGCTGATGTTGTTGAACGCAAGCGCAGATGAAAATGTTTGACAGTTGGCGAGAGGCCGCAGAATCTTGAGAAATATACTAGAAGAGCGAATGTCAAATTTCGAAAATACTTATTTACCCCGCAATGTTGTTCCTTTCGCGACTGAACTTCACTTACACTGCGGGTTGCCTGAGTCATCGCCAAATACTTTCTGACGCCCGGCCATATATCATAACTTATAATATAAATTTGGTTTTCCCATGGGTGTGTTTCTCGATGAGCTATACAATTTGGCTAATGATATATTTCCGGCTGAAAGTGGCTAGCTGATTTGTTGGCGTCTTAGAGCATGTTATGGAAATAAATGTTCACAAGTTGTCGTTTGATTTTAAAAAATGTCAGCCAACTAATTTGTACAAAATGTCCTTTACTTTATATGCTTTTTATAAAATGAATATATGTAAAGAAATATTCATATAATCTTTGATCACCATTTAATGATTTGTTTATTTTTGTCCGCTATTTTCATGAGTTTGCGTGTGATTATTTTTTTTCGGTTTTATAAACAATTGAAAGCCATTAAATGACTTTAAATTCTTAAGATTCGTTATGGTACTAAAATTAATGTTGCCGAAATCGATTTTTATTTTAAAATTTCACTTAAATATTTGATATATGCTTTTTTGCGAAGGTCAAAATACAGGAATATTTTACCGATTCCCCTCTATACAATCGCTTTAATTATTTTTGACTATAAAACTGAAATATGCCGCACCAACCAGAAATTAGTTTTCATCGTGTCCAATGAGAAATGTGCGGAAAAATATTTTTTAAAACAACAGAAAAACGTCAGAGGGTGTGAAGAGTTTTCGGGGGCGTGTGGGTTCGGGGTATATAGTGAGGATCGACGTTTCGTCGGTCATTTTCTTTGGGCCAGAAGACTATTTCGCCGGTCTAAAATTAGATCAAGCACACGTAGTTGGATCTGCCGATGCGGCAATGTTGTTAGTGCTCCCGCTGTAGCCCCCAAAATTTAAAAGAGAAACAACAGAAGCGGTGCGCAGGCAACGAAATTAAATTTAGCCTAATTGTATTGCCTTTTACTTAAATCAAATTAAATGGTTTATTGAAATATGCAATGCTAGAGTCTGAGTCTGAGGCAAATGGAACACTTTAAAAAGGCTATTTTTAAGAGGCTAAATCGATGCACATATATAATATATACTTGATCTAGTTAATTGCGGGCTGCTTGTTGAACATTTCACTTACATGCTGATCCCTCGCCGTTTCCCTCGCGTGGCAACAATAAAAGCACGCTGCGATTTTTATTTGTTGAGGGGCGGTCGTGCGTACCGAAAATCCGAGCCAAAAAGCCAAAGGCAGCATACGTGGCGTTGATATTTTTAAACTTTTTGGGAGATATCTTTTCGTTTGCCTAGTACATATTTTTCATTTGGCAGGGGAATCTTCTATTTAGTGATTGAAAATTCTGAATGGTTACTACTTTTGCAGCGCTGTTGAATTATAAATCACTGTTAATCACTATATGCACTCATTCAATATATGTATTTTTATATATGGGCACTTCCAAAATGTCGCTCGGGACATTTGCACACCTTTAAAGTTGAAAAAAAATTGTAAAACAATGGATTTTAATTTTAATTATGGGCTTTTCTTTTCACTCTTCCCAAGCTCAATTTTTGGTAAAAATCTTGATTTTGTACCACTTTTAGTTTTTAAGATATCGGTAAAAAACTGCCGTATTCGCTCGGGACAAAAATAGAAGTGGATTTCAGGGAAGTTCATAAAACACCAGAAATTAGCGAAGTCTGATGGAATATTTGAATGCGATTTTTTTTAGAATGTTGTTCAAACATGTCGCTGTGAAATGCTTTTGGTTTCACTCAAAAATTCTTTGCCGTTTTTTTTTTATGCAGTTTCAACCACATTCGCTCGGGACATGTCGCTCGGGACATTTTTTCCGACTGTTTTGTAAAGCGGATTTCTTTACCTCTATCTCTCAATTGCTGGATGTTTTGCTTTTAACTTAATAGTTTAGCATGTGAATGAAGCATTCAGTACAGAAAAATGTCACATATTAGCATTCCTATAGGATAAATTTACAACAGAAGACAGGTCCAAAAAATAACAAAAAAATAGCCAAAAACTGATTTTTGCGTATATTGGTGGGGTTTGTCATAAAAATAATCAAACTATACTCCAAATTTGTAGTTAAGCTCAGTATCCAACTAATTAGAAACTAATATCGGGGCAAAATCATGTAGAAATATGTTTTATTCAAGTTTCAAGGTTTTTGGCTTGGTGGACTTTTTTTTGGAAGTGCCCATATAGCTGCTCAAAGTGTGCCAGCTCAATATATAATATAGATTTATCTCGCACTTTATACATATATTTTCCATATATCTTTTCACTTTAAACTCTTTTGCACCCTAAACCCTTTGTTAAATACAATTTTCAATCAAAATTATTAATATCAAAGGGTAATTGTTGAGTAAATATCGAAAGAAAGCACTGAAAATTAAAAATTTTCTTCACCCGTACAGAAAAGTATTTCTGCGTGCAGCTTAAAAATAAATCTGAACACACACGGTCGTTGGCGCGAGGAACCGAACCAAACCAATTCACGCCAACGATCAGCCGAGAACTGTCAGATTGGTGAGATATCCACGGCCTCCCGTGCTAGTTGGTGAATTTTTCGGTATTTAGAAAATTGGTTTTCTGGCAATTTTAGTATATTTTCAAAATTTCGATACACATATTTGTTGATCGAACATAATGATTTGTGGAATAAAATGTTAGACTCTAATTATCTGTATTTTTTGATTATAAGAAATTTAATTAGGTGGTTTCAATTATATACTTTGTATTTCCTTTGGTTATCCTTTGTGTTCACACATGAACATGGTTTTGTTTGTAATATTGATTTGCCTCACACTGTAAGTTTAAAAATACCAATTGTAATCTGTAAACCAAAATATCAGTGCATGAGTTCAAATGCTATCAACGCTATTTTAAGTTAAGCAACGCCAATGCAGCGTTCCAAAAATATGTCTAAGAACGCTTATCTGTTTATATTCTAATGCGCCCCTTTCCCCGACGCATTGGTCCATACTATTGTACTCCGCTGTACTCTATATAAGCTAGTGTTTTACAAAATAAAAATCAGTTTGAAATATCAACTCAACAAATGTGGATTTCTTTCTTTTGGGATTGAACATCTTTACATTTTGGTCCTTCGAGCTAAACTTTGTAGTCATCCCCCACCAGTGGTAAGAGGCTCAGAGTTGTAGCTGGCACCTTAAAGTCTGATTTGTTGCGAGCGCACGATCAGCTACAGGCTGCAAAAATAAAATAAAATAAAAACTTGTGTCTTCCCCACCAGTGGTAAGAGACCAAGTAAATAATAAATAACACAAGTTTTACTTGTTAAATAAAATAAGCCAAACGGGCAAGTTTTCTAAAATAATTCTCGGGTTTTGTTGCGTGACGGTGGCGTTACCAAGGCCAAAAACATTGGTAAATCGTTTTAAAAATTAAAAAATAAAAAGAGAAAGTGTTCGGCGTGACGAAAAGTGTTAAAAAACTAAAAACAGAAATGCAGTGATACACAAAACCAATTCAACCCGAACTTTAAAATTCTTGTAAAATATAAAAACGAAAAACAAGGCCCACGAACAACACCGAAGCAGTAACAACAATCATTTTTTAAGAACAACAAACGACATCGAGGCGGCAACAAACAACAAACAACATCGAGGCAACTATCGACATCAGAGCAGTGATAAGGAAGAAGACGACGAAAAGAAGAACTACGTTATCTACGACAACATCATAGCGGCATCTACATAAGCGAGCTTAACGGAGAACATCACCAACTGAAGCAGCAGATAAGATAGTTTTTAAATTTTTTCACATTTAATATCATTTACATATACACTTTATTTACAAAATCCAATTCATATTCACATATATATATAAATATATATTATATACATATTTTTTGATATACATATTTTATACATAAATTCTTTAAATCATGTTGTCCGAAACAATTTTAAAATTCTTAGAGGCTCAGGCAAGCCTAACAAAAGAGGTTAGAGTGATTGAAGCTGGTCAATTAACCAGTGACGCAATCCTCAAACTTGATAAAATAAAAGCAAAATTCACCGCAAACCACACAAATTTGTTAAAACTAGGAGTAGTCAATCATGATTACTTTAACGAAAAAATGTTCGATGAGATTTGTAAAGTAATTGAAACTCTTAAAAATAAATTTAGCAACATGAAAGCTATTTCTGGAACCCTAGCTGAAACTAAGAAAACTGAAACAGACCCAGTAAAGTTGGCAGAGGTGTTCGATAAAAATGTCGAACAATTAAGGGATTATTTGGAGGAAACCCATCAGGAGCTCAGTCAGGCTAGCAGGGAAATTTGCAGCCTTAGAGCTAAGAAAATAGAATTTTTATGGAGTAGAACTGATAATAAAATAAAAGAATTCTACAAACTCTATGAGAATAATTTATCTTTCGACGAAAGTGTCGAAGATTTAGAATTTGACGTCAAAAACATTTTGGACATCCTGCAAGAAAGGATGAATGCTTCCGAAGCAAAAACGGAAGGCAATTGTGGGGTTATGGTAAAGGAAAGGGCTGATAACCTTCCTGTGTTACCAAAAATAAAAGTTCCCACCTTCTCCGGAGAAGGCAAAGAGTGGGACTTATTTTCGGAATTATTTAAAGAAATAATTTTCAATAGAGATGATCTGAGCACATCTCTGAAATTTAACTACTTACAAACCGCTCTCAAAGGCGAAGCAAGGAGTATGGTCGCTCACTTGCTAATCGGTTCTGCCGAAAATTATAATGCCGCTTGGGAACTATTAACCAAGCGGTATGAAAACAAGAGACAAATATTCTCTGATCAGCTGAATCGGTTGATCGATTTGCCCATGCTAGACAACGATTCAGCTAAACAAGTTAAACTGTTTATTGACTCAATAAATGAATCGATTCATTTAATGAAATCAAAAGCAAGTTTAAATGAAGATGTTGATGTGATCTTCGCGCATATCATCATTCGAAAATTTAATAAAGAAGCGTTACAATTATATGAAACGCATATAAAGAAAACTAAGGAAATCCAATTACTAGACGACGTAATGGACTTCTTAGAACAACGTTATAGTTCTCTTGCCTCATCAAATGGTGAGGAAAAGAAGCCTTTTAAAAGAATGGTAAATACCTCTGTAAAAGAAGGCTGTCTACTCTGTAAAATGGTTGGCCACTTTGTGTCAAATTGCTATAAATTTAAGGGAATGAGTCCGGTGGAAAGAGGGGAATTTATAAAAAAACAGCGCTTGTGCAATAGGTGCTTTAAGCATTCTTCATTTAAAAAGTGTAACTCTGAATATTTATGTTCAGTTTGCAAAAAACCACATCATACAATGCTCCATGTCCCAACAGATAAAAGGGAGAAGGTAAACACTTGTGTCACAAAAGAACAAGCGTTTCTAGCCACAGCCCTAATTAAAGTCAAGTCAAAAAATGGTGGCTATGAAAGCCTTAGAGCATTAATTGATAGTGGGTCGCAGTGCACTATTATATCAGAAGAAGCTGCACAAATATTAAATTTAACAAGGAAAAAGAGTTTCACTGAGGTTAGTGGAGTCTCTGACACTTGTATCTCAAAACATAAAGTAAATTTAAGTATAAAAACGCGCGATAATAAAAAAGATTCTCTTAGCATTGAAGCCATCATTCTTCCCAAACTAATGAAGGCTTTGCCAAACCAAACATTAAATATTGATAAATCTAAGTGGACGAAATATACGTTGGCGGACCCTCACTTTAATAAACCAAGTAGGGTAGATCTTATTATAGGAGTGGATTTATATCCCCATATAGTCAAAAACGGAGTAGTTAAAATAGACGGACTACTAGGTCAAAATACGGAATTCGGGTGGATTGTATCCGGGTGCACCAAATCAAAAGGTGAAAAATTAATTGTGGCTACTACTGTGGAAGTAGAAAACTTAGACCGGTTTTGGGAAATGGAAAATGAAAATAATGATATTGAGGAAGAAATTTGTGAAAAACATTTCTTAGAGACCACTAAAATAGATAAAAATGGGAGATATGTGGTCAAAATTCCATTTAAAAATGAAAAAGAATTAGGAGACTCCAAAGCGCAGGCCATAGCGCGATTTTATAATTTGGAAAGAAAATTAAATAAAAATATAAAACTTAAAGAAAGTTACATTAAATTCATGCATGAATATATAAACTTGGGCCACATGATAGAGTCCAAGAAAGAAGGAAAATATTATTTACCCCATCAAGGTGTTGTAAGAGAATCAAGCCTTACAACAAAATTAAGAGTAGTTTTCGATGCCTCAGCGAAAACTACAAACAATAAAAGTCTAAATGACATTATGTGGGTTGGACCAAGAGTCCAAAAAGATATATTTGATATCATTGTCAAATGGCGTAAATGGCCATTTGTAATATCGGCGGACATTGAGAAAATGTACCGGCAAATAAACATTGATGAAGAAGATCAACAATATTTGCACATTATTTGGAGAGATTCCCCAAATAAAAAATTAAAAGAGTACAAATTAACAACCGTTACATACGGAACAGCTTCAGCACCCTACTTAGCCACAAGAGTGCTTGCTGAAGTTTCGAATAGATGCGAAAATCTATCGATTAAGGAAATAATCAGAAATGATTTTTATATGGATGACCTAATGACAGGTGCTAATTCCATAAGAGAAGCCAAAGATCACGTTGAAGATATAACCTTTGAATTAGAAAAGGTGGGTCTCAACTTAAGAAAATGGATCTCGAATGTCTCAGAAATTGTGGAAGCTTTGGAAAGCAAAGAAGAAAATAAAATATTAGAGATTCGAGAAAATGAATCCATTAAAACTCTGGGGCTTCAATGGGAACCAATTAAAGATGAATTTAAATTTAATTTTAATTGTGAACACGTCGCTAATATTAATAAACGAATAGTTTTATCAACATTAGCAAAAATTTATGACCCCCTAGGCTGGTTGTCTCCAGTAACCATAGTAGGAAAATTATTCATGCAAAAGCTATGGTTGACAGAGCAAAAATGGGATCAGAACTTGTCAGACCCAGATGCCAACGAATGGAAAGCCTTTAAAGAGAACTTAACTTCTCTTGAAGGTATTAGAATCCCCAGGTGGGTTAAGTCCCAGGAAAATATGCCAGTACAAATTCATGGATTCTCTGATGCGTCCGAAAAAGCGTACGCAGCCGTAGTGTATGCCAAAGTGGGATCCTCCTCTATGATTATAGCTAGCAAGAGCAAGGTTAATCCGAAGAAAAATAGAAAAACCATCCCTAAATTAGAGCTATGTGCTGCACATCTTCTATCAAAACTAATAGATAGAGTTAGGACAGCAATTGGAGGGGAAGCAAAGGCATATGGATGGAGTGATTCAACGATCACACTAGCGTGGATTAGAAATGGGAATAATAAAGACAAATTTATTCGACGGCGAACTGACGAAATAAGAACTTTTAAGAACATTGATTGGAGACACGTTAGATCAGAAGACAATCCAGCAGACGTAGCGTCAAGGGGAATAACACCAGAAAAAT